TCGGGAGATGTTAAAAGATTCACGTATCCCTGAAAGACGTTGACATTTTTGGAGTATAATCATTCATTATTTGAATTATTTGTTTATATATTATATCAAAATTTAGGTTAGTTATTTCTGGAATATTGCTGAATCTGGTTTCGATTTCATTAACATAATTCGACATTTTGTAATAAATTCTAGTAATCTTGTTATTTTCATTGTTAAGAACACTGAATTATAAAATTAATCAAATATAATCCAAGTTTCGGTTATACCTATTGTTTCTGAATCATAATTTAATTGAAAGTAATTTGTTGATAGAAATTTATTCTTTAAGCCTTGACTATTCCAATTTAAAACTGTAGTCGGATGTATATTTTTAATAGTTTTTTCTTGGTGAGTTTTATTTTATTGTAAATATCAACTTGATGATTCTGGTGAAGCAGAGAAAGGCTGAAAGGTATCCACGTAGACTAATTTTCCTGTATTAATACTAAAAGTTAATTTATTGCAGTCTATTAGCAAATTGTCGTTACGTAGTTTAACTGATTGGTTTTGGTTTCTTAATTCATAATATATTGGCAATAAGTGTTTTCTTCTTTTATGTGTTTCTTTAGTAAGATCAGGTGCTATCTGTATATTACCCCAGTCTTCCATTAATTTACGTTGTTTCTTTGATATGAAAGCATTATATATTTGATCACGGGTCTGTTTCGTACTAAGTGATAGTTTTATAATCTGGTTGGTTGATTTGGTTATTTGAATTATATCTAGGATATCCTCCTGAGTTACATTATTTAGGTTTAATGTTAAGTTGATGAATTTAAGAATTTCTGGTTTGGAAGTGCTTTTTGACGAAGGATAGTTGTATAATACTATATTATTATAATGACAGTCATTAATTAGAGTATCCATTGTATACTGTATCAGTTCCTTTTCAGATTTTAAATTGTCAATTTGAATTTTTAGATTATCTATTGAACTTTCCATTTTTTCAAATTGAATTTTATTTTCCCATATAGTACCATGAATTAAATTCAGTTCTTCTTTTATATATTCCATTTGTGCAGATAGTTTATCATTAGAAGTATTAATCAATTCAGATATCCTATTCCATAGATCTGCTGTTAAAGTGTCATTCGAGCTTATTGGAGTAGGTGAATTAATTACATTGGACTCACCTGAAAAGCTTTGTAGATTTTGTTTAGATATATCCGTATGTGAACCATTGTTTGCCGTAGACGATTCCTGTATTTCTTTATCCATTGATAAGTTGTAGTCCGTTATAAGCTTGAAATTAGATGTACCTGGTTGCGTCTTTTTGCTTTCCGGTTTGCTTCTATTAGTTGGCGGTCTACCACGTTTTTTTGGTGAACGTTGTATACTTATTAATTATTAATTTCCTCGAACTTGGTTATTTCTTATTAGTATTAAACACTTTTGGTTAATTCAGATAATAAAATTGAAAAAATACACTAAATTCTAGATTTACGTTGAGGTGTAAAAACAAAGTCACCAGCAGCGCTCACGGTCAAGTCATGATCTGATAATGTTAAGTATGATATGTGAAGTGGTAATATTATTAGTTCTGCATGAAATTCTGACAATATGTCAAAACGAAAGGACTTAGTAGTGACTTTGAAAAAGGTATTATAGTTGGTTGTCACATTAGTGGCAAGTCTATTCGTGCAACTGCAGTAGAATTATCACAGCCATGGTCAACTGTTGGTGATGTTGTGAAGTGGAAGACTACAAGAGTTGGGACATGACCTGCACATGTTGGTCGTCCCCATAAACTGACCGAACGAGATCGGCATGTCCTGAAGCATGAGGTTCGTAAGAACCACAAGAAATCACTCCAAATCATCAACAGTGAGTTTCAACAGGCAGCAGAGGTTAGAATATACCTCAATACTTTGCAGAAAGAACTGCATGCCCTCAATATCCACAAATGTGTTGCTGAACACAAACCAAACATCGCTCCATCCAACAAAACTAGCAGACTCGCAAGTTCAGTGGTGGTGGTGTTCTTGTTTGGAGGTGTTTTTTTGTGGTATGGCCTAGGACCTTTGCATGTTGTTCCTGGTAAATTCAATGCCTATGCCTACATGAACATTTTGGACAATCAGGTTCTTCTTATGCTCTGGCAATTTTATGGAAAGGACAAATGTTACTTCCAGGATGACAATGTTCCATGTCATGTTGCAGCCTCTGTCAAGCAGTGGTATCAAGTTATGGATGTCAACCATCTTCCCTGGCCTGTTCAGCTTCCCGACCTAACCCCAACAGAACATTTGTAGGACGAATTAGAGTGATGCTTATGGGCCAGGGAATCATGTCCGAAATCTACAGCTGAGCAGTGCGACATTCTCGAAGCAGGAATGGACACAAATGACCATAGCTGTGAATCAAAACATTGTTGAAAGTATGCCCAAAAAGGTTGCTAGTGTAATTGCAGCACATGGGGGACCCTTCTCCTATTAAAGAATGTATTCTTTACCTTATGCCATCACATCTTGCTGTCCTGTCCATTATTGTAAGGTAGTGTATCTACAAATCAGGACAGTAATTCTAGTCAAGCAAATATGAAAATTATAGCACATCATCACAAACTGTACATTAAAAGTGTTATATGTAATTAAATAAAAATCTTAAAATAAAAAAACCCTCACATATGTAAATAAAATAAAAGTAAATAATCCTTTGAATGCATGAATTAACACAAGAGTATGAATAGTCTATTCTATAATAAATTTTATACGTATCATAAAAAAAATCATCACTTACTGAACATCATCAGGACTAGGTCTGCGATAACAAATAGGGACATATATTTCATACTTCTGAGCAGCTTTCTTATTTCCCATTTCCTCCATAAATTTAACTTGATCTAAATCCCAATTGTCAAGTCGGAGAGACTTTACTTTACTTACGTGGGAACCAAGATTTCTGTGAATGCCAGCACACTGGGTACAAAGGAAAATTCCAATGTTGTACGAAGCCCATTCTGGATCTATAATAATATATTTTTTTTATTTAAAAACAATGACACTAAAAAATTTGACTCCTAATCACTATTTCTATTTCATTTTAATAATTCTATTTACTTGTAAAAAGTATAATGCCTGATTTCAGAAACAGGAACTAGAGACTGTAAAACTAAGTTTTCTAATAGGAACATTTACTATATCAGTTGTCTAATAAAAAGATACAATTACAGTCTATTTTGTTTAAATCAAATAAATATTAATAAATGTGAGATTAGCTGCAGTAGGGAGATTTCCCTAACCCGTTGATTGGCCTCAGGTTGGTAAAACCCATCTTGGGGTCAATGGATGACTTAAAATAGGAGGGTCTTAAATTATTGAGTGGGGAGGTCAATGAGTTGTCAATAGTGTGTCTGTTATTCAGAGTAATGACAGGTAGCCAGGTTTACAAATAAAAATATAAGTTTAATATAAATATCTAAATCTAAGAGTACACAAGAATATGGAATATGCCTAAAGCTACATGACTAAATACCTACGTGCACTGTTCACATTCTGCCCACGTTGAGAGATAGTTTACATTTGGCTATTAAAAATAACACTGAGAGGGATGCTGTTCTCTGTCTTGGTTGAGGTTAAGCTGTAATCCATGTCTTCCTTTTTTATAAGGCGATTCGAGTCGTCATCTTCTATGATAATGGCAAGGAGGGAGCCTTGGAAGAAGTCTGTTCTCTATGGCATCTTGGGATATGTCGAATTGGCTGTGGCATTCTGACAATGTCTGCTGGAACAGAGTGGCTGGAGGTGTATGGCCTGTGTATGGCATCCAATGCAGTCATTCCTGACTCAAGTTCTCACCTCCCTTTTATTCGATTTAGCCTGAGAAAATGATCAGGTGATTGACTGTTTGGTGACAAATCTGCAGGTGTCAGGTCAGGGGTCTGTATCAATGATGCTATAACATCACTTACATGCAGCTGTCGTGACCACATTTGGTTCAAAACTTGTACGCTTCCATCTATTTACAAGTCAACAGTCGACTTTCTCCTCTTTTGACAGCCAGTTGTTGATAGTACGGGTGATACCCAATCCATTTTCTGTGTGATGTTTTCTTTACAATCGCGACAAAAAAATAGGCTTAATAATTTTCTTAAATTTGCACAAAATCAAGTGCTCAATCTCAATAATACAAAGGTCATACTAAAAGTCACAAGCAACATCTTTTATAAATTAGATTAATTTATTTTTGAAAAACAAATATATTGCATTATTTTTCAGACTTTTATTTTTCCACATAGTCTCCATTTTTCTCACCGCTGTGGGAGCTTGAAAATTTCCTTACAATAAAACTCGTACAGTGAAAAAGCTGACACACTGCTTTCTTGATGTCCTCCATTGTTTTGCAGTATTGGCCTTGCATGTTTTCTTTTGCAGCACCAAAAATATGATAATTAAAGGGTGCTAAATTGGGGCTGTAGGCAGGATAAAGAAGAACTTCCCACCCCATTTTCCAAAATTTCTCTGCTGTGTAACAAGTAGCATTGGACCTCATGTTGTAGTGCTGCAGGATGATCATCTTTCCATGATGTTAACACAACACAGAGCAGAGATCAAAGTGTCATGACATACCAAGCAGCATTAATTAATGGTTTGCCCAAGTTCAAGAAATTCCACCAGAATCATCTGAATCTCAGAAAACAGAGCCCATAACTTTTCCAACTGATGGCACTGTCTTTGCCTTCTTTTTTGTTGGGGAATTGAGGTGGTACCATTCCATACTCTGCCATTTTGTTTCAAGCGCATAATGGTGTAACCAACTTTCATCAGTCATCACAATATTCAGCAAAACTCATCAACTTCATTTCTATATTTCTGAAGTTCTTTTATGATAATTTTTCTCTGAATTTTGTTGTCGCAGATCAATAAATAGTAGTGATGTAACGAATATTCAGTTACTATTCGGTATTCGGCCTATTTTTCACTATTCAGCCGAATACCGAATAATTAATCACTATTCAACCGAATACCGAATACCTAAAAGCAGGAGTAATAAATAACAAAAACACAGTAAATTAATCATTTTGTTTATAATTTATTTTGTATACTAGTACTTTCTATATATTAACAGGACTTATTATACTGGAAAATTATGTGCAATAAATTTAAATACGGTAAAAATTAGAAAAAAGGAAAAAAATAATTATAAAAAACAACTGTATGAGTATTTAAATATAATTAGACAAACTGACAAAATGAATAACAACAATGGTAGAGAGATTCACTAATCATGGTTAAGCATTATAAAAAGGAGGGATGAGAAAGTATAACAGAGGAAATAGGAATGTATTGAAAATAAAATTAAGTAGTTACAGACAAACCAAATGAAGTAAGTGTAATTGAAATAGTATGTTAGATAATAATTAAATTTTATTGTTTTAAAATGATTTTAATGTTAAAAAATTAGGAATGTGTAAAATCGTATGGTTGTTGTGGATCGGAAGTTTAAGTGGAAATATGGTGAAGTTTGGAAAAACAGAAGTTGTAAAAGTTTTAAATATTTGTTGTTGGGAAATGTTTATGTTCTTTGTTTAATTTTTAGTGATAATTGTACCGAAAAATGTTTTATTGTTGATTATTGTTAATTATAGAAAGTGTCGTTTGAAGGCCTGCTGAGGAGGGACGAACAAGTCCGAAACACATGTTTGAAGTGTGTGTTCAGGTGAACTAAATAAAGAACATTATTTTTGAACTGTAAGACTAGATATCTGCATCCATAATTTTCCAGTATAATAAGTCCTGTTAATATATAGAAAGTACTAGTATACAAAATAAATTATAAATAGTTGAAAAGGACAAAAACGCATAATAATTAATCATTTTGTTATTTAGATTTAATGTTATCGAGTTAGTGTTGTTTGTTTACATTTATTTATAACTTGTAACATGCACAAAATAAAAAAAAAATAATATTAGTTACATGTATTCACAATTTATAATTTCAAAGATCAGCACACGTACACGTCTATCGTTGGAGAATCCTCGCACATCTGAGGGTCTGACCCTGCCTATCCTTCTTTTTAAGGCTCGTCTTTGCTCTTCCCTTTCTCTTTCGATAGAGGATCTATCCTATTTCGCTCTAATCCACGTATGCCTGTGCATACATCATAATACACGCTCACGATACTTTCGATTCGTCACTTTTCCGTCGTAGAGTTCCCATTTTACAATTACGTGACAGCCTGGTGATAACGGAGAAAAGAGAAAATAGGACGTCGGTATAAGTCACAGTTATGACTTCACAGATTCGAGACAGCTTGATAGCCCAAACGGCCCCAGGCTTTCGCCCATGCACGCTAAATGACTTTCATTACAAGCATTTAGCTTTCCAAAGTCTATGACAACAATTGTTTGGCATTGACAGCCGCGAATTTCATGCCAATAAGCTGCCTCGACTTGTTCGATTGTGTTATCAACTCAATTTCTTATTTATTTTCACTTTGCGGTCCTTCTCTGTTCTTTTTCCGTTATTTACATGTGTAGGTCATTTCATTGTTATCCACATTTGATATCATCATTTATCACATACTTCCCTGACACTCTTGTCTATCCGCTACAACTGCCAAGAATTAACGCGATTGGCGAAGCGTAGTGACAGCGGGCCAATAGAGAGCAGGATCCTTGCCATAATGCGGTTTGCGCCCCAATTTTCGTACGTGCGTTAATCGAGCCGAATAGTTTGGCCAAATATTCGGCTATTCGGCCACGCTCCTGGCCGGATATTCGGTATTCGGCCTGAGGCCGAATATACTATTCGTTACAACACTAATAAATAGTGAACCCAGCAGGCACAAACTTTCTGATCTAACTCTTGATCATCACCTGGTTTGCATTGTACCCTATTCCAAGATTCGCTGCAATATCTTCCACAGTTACACATCGGTCTTCCTTAATGATCTCATCCACTCTTTCCATGTTGCATTTGTTAGAGCAGTCCATGGTCAGCAACTACGAAACTGATTTTCAATGCTTGTGTTTCTATCTTTAAAATATTTTGCCCATCCTCTAATACTGCTGGCACCCATCATATAAAACAAAGCTACAGAAAAAACTTAGTAGTAGAATGGAATGTAAATATTACGAAAGAAAAGAAATAAAAATTCCAGAAAAATGTAGAAGCCTTAAGTCTAAAACAAACCAAGTTTATCTTTATTAATGCTACTAAACTAGTAAATAGTCCATGTATATTTTAAATGTGCAAAAACAACAGACCAAACAGACCACAAATCTATTTTGAATAACGATGAGGATTGTAGTAACTATCCATTACTAATTGCAACTGAGTCAATTAATCCAATATTATAATAAATTCCTATTCAAGAAATATTTTTAAAATATGACATGCTTTCACAAGGTACAGATTCAATAATCTAATAAAAGAAATAAACAAATAGCATCTTCATTAATAGTCTGCTATTCATTTATTTCTGATGGTTTAACAGAAGACTTTAGGACCAACTTTAGCAGTAAAGAAAATTATATATGCATGGTAGTGCATAATAAATATGCAGTGCAGCACTGTTTCAATAAAACAACAAACTTTTTCTTTAATATTTAGTTTTATAAAGTAAATTAATTATTTTTCTATTTTAAAAGATGCATTTNCCTCGCCGAGTGTTACGTTAGCCGGCTGAGTACCGTTAGGGTCGTGGGCGAAGGAGTCGTCCCCAGCCGGTGATGTATTTAACCAAGTAAGGTTATATCTAAATTGTGAGAGATTAATATTAATTTACTACCTGACATGAATAAATTGACATAACTTATGATAACATTCTGTGCCTAAAAAAAAAAAAAGAAACTCACTTCTTTCACATAATACACAAGTGTATTATTGATTTGTGACAATACAAATTTCCTGAGTTGAAAACGACCCCCATCTTTTCCTCTCTTCCACAGCCAACCTTCCATTGTTTGATGCAAATAAATTTGACAGTCGGGATAAATGAATTCCTCTCTTTGATACTTAGCA